AGCCGGTAAAATTAGTTACACAACAGACTATTCCAGCGGCTGTAAGCGGAGCCAGAGGAGCGACGAATTGAGGGTTTGTCTATCAGCGTGTCTTACAATCGACGTGGGCGTGGGAGCGTCGAGTCACCGCCCACATTTAACCTCATTCCCAACATGGGGGGCGGAGGCACCGCACACCCTAGCGTGATTAACTCCCACTTGCCCAAATCTTACCTCCACGTCTAAAGCGTTGTGCTGACAACAGGGCTGAAGGACGTGGGAAGTGGGTAAATAGCGGAGAGAGGAAACATGTAGGTGCATGGAGTGACAAATCTTGAATTGTCATTTAGATGTGTGAGGATACTTTGGTTTTCTTACTGTTCATTTGGCAATACTGACACTGACAGCGCCACCTTTCTATCGGCTTAACGTGAATTTAGTGGACCTCATTCCTTCAGGTGACATTGCACAAACACATGCTCCAAAATTTGGCAGCTTTGTGGCATTATAAATCACCCACATCGAGGCGTCGAGCGCTCATTCCAGTTGGCTGCGCTGATGGGATGCGAAATCCTCGTGTCTCAACTATTCAAGGGTACAACTTCTAAGCCAAATTCAATTTCCTGCCCAAGCGAAAACCCCTCAGACTGTCAATATAAGCCGATCTCATTGTGTCTTGGGTGAGAATTTGTGCAGATCTGAACGAAAGGGAACGGAGGCAATTAACAAATTAGACAACGGATTTGATGAACTTCAAACCTCAAGCGAAAAGGAGCACTACAATTCTCACAACATTGAGTCGCATCCAATCAACGAATCATCCAATGGGCACCAACATGTGCCGACAGTTTATGCCAAATCAACTTAACATTGTGTGCAAGCACTTACTCCTCTTGAACTCGACCAATTACTTCGCCTGTGGGCGTCTCCAAAACAATGTCCTGCATGAAGCCCCGGAGGAAACGAAAGCAACAACTGTTGTCCTCCGATCGACAGGTAGTGGGTTCGCACTTCCAGAAGCAGCAACAGCATAGATGCCAGGAGGGCATACAGGCGCCAAGGTGAAAGCGTCGACGCATTCTCACCACCTCAACACCCTGTGCTCCAATCACGTGGAGGCGGAAGGAGCGAATAGCACCGCAGCATTGCCTTGAGCACAGCCCCGATTCTAGCACAATTACAAATGTGAAAACCAAACGAGCTCTAATTCTCCAAAGCCTGTTCCACAAGGTTGAATTCCTCCAGTTCTTCACATTTCAACAAGTCATAATGCAGACTTTATAGAAAACTTTCTACAAGTTTTAACAATCCACAGTATCTATCGTGCGATCCTTGTGTTTACCGCCATCAACACCCACGCTGCCGTCGGCTCCGTCATTCCAACAACCCAGTTTTCGTAAATTTCACCATAAAGCCCACACCCTTGTCGCCAAGTAAGAGGGATGGAAGGTTAGTAATTGTGATGGATTGAGGAGGGATCCTCTCATATGACTTTGTATTTATTCATTCGAGGATGATTCAGTGTTCTCCTTATTGCGAGTGGAGGAAGCCTAAGAATACTGCAAATCACACATTTAAGAATTTCTCTCTAAAATTCGCCT